GAGAGAGAGAGAGAGAGAGAGAGAAAGAGACAAACACACACAAACAGACAAACAGACAGACAGACAGAGAGATAAAGATAAGGTTAGATAGAAACATAGACAGATAGATAGATAGAAAGATAGATAGATAGATAGATAGATAGATAGATAGAGAGAGAGAAATTTGAGAGAGAGAGATAGAGAGAGAGAGGGGAGAGAGAGAGGGAGAGAGAGAGGGGAGAGAGACAGAGACAGAGACAGAGAGAAAGAGAGAGAGAGAGGGGGGAGAGGTGGGGGAGAGAGACAGAAACAGATAGAGATAGAGAGACAGAAAGACAGAGACACAGAAGGACAAAGAGACAAAGACAGAGAGACAGGCACAGACACAGGCACAGACACAGGCATAGACATAGAGATAAAGAGAGGAAGAGGAACAGAGTGAGAGAAAGTTCAGGGAGTGAGAAAAAAAGGATGACCGCACTGACCTATCACAGGAGACTCGCCCTCCGTCTCCTCAGCTCCTGCCTCTGACATCCCTGCTGATCGCCTCTCCATCCAGATCTGTGGGGGAACATTTTAGTCATTTTAAGTGTCAGGACGTGGTGAAATCAGGCGCTCGTCAATTTTTGGGCATTTTATTTAGAGTTATTGACACCATCATATAAAAATTGCCAAAATGAAAAATGCCAGTTTCTTCAATTTCATTATTTTGACGAGCGCCTGATTTCACCAAGATGCCTCACATTTGAAGAGAAAAAGTACGGAAAAAAGTAGACATTACGAAAAACAAGAACAGAAAAGAAGAAGAAGAAGAAGAAAAAAGAAAGGACAAAGAAAGGGACAGAAAAGAATGGGAAAGGAAGAGGAGAATAGAAAAAAAGAGAAGAAGAAGAGGAAGAAAAAAAAAGACAGGAAAGAAGAAAATGGAAAGAAAGGAAGAGGAAAGGGTAAAGAAGAAGAAAAAAAAAGAGAAAGAAAACGAAAAGAAGATAAAAAGAAACAGGAAAGAAGAAAACAAAGAAAGAAAAAGACGTAACAAAAAGAAGCAAAAAAAGATAGACTATTGGAAATTTTAAAAAAGATAAAAAAGAAAAAAGGGAAAAAGAAAGGAAACTAAATAATTTAGAAAAGAAATGGAGAAGAAGAAAACGAAAACAGACTAAAAAAAAAAAAAAACACACTAAAAATGAATTGGTGGTTTCTTATATAGGGCCCATATAGAAAAACCAAACAAAAACAAAAACAAAGTCAAGATCTGTTAAAATGACCAAAAAAGGTAAAGATAAAAAAACAGAAAAGAAAAGAAGAAAAAAAGTAGAAAGACAGAAAAATTTTGAAAACCCACTCTTGTATTGATATGTTGCTTAGAAAAAAAAATGCTTCTGGTATTGACGACTATAAGACATACATAATAAATTGTATTAACAAGATAGATTTTCCTCATAAGAACATGGAACGGTCAAGGTCTATACCCTGTTGACTTTTGCTGTTTGAAGCAAATTATTTTTTTTTAAATCCCCTGTTTAATCTTTTCAAATCTATGCAGGCAGGTCTAAAAGTAGGACGACCAACAGAGTTTAAAATCCCTTTGATAAAGGTCGTCGCAAATTAAGATTCGGACACGTTTTCCTCGATGTTAGCCTTAAGCGGGTCCAAAAAAAAATTATAATACGGGATTTAAAGCAGATATCTGAAACAACAAAAAGCTGACCTACTACTTTGATCCAAACCACGTTTTGACGCACGCCTATGAAACTTGGTCATATAATTTATATTTGTAAGTGATGATGATGATGATGATGATGATGATGATGATGATGATGGACATCATCATCATCATCATCATCATCATCAT